GTACGTACGGTACGGTACGGTACGGTACGGTACGGTACGGTACGGTACGTACGGTACGGTACGTACGGTACGTAGGTAGGTACGTAGTAGTAGTAGTAGTAGAGAGAGAGAGAGAGAGAGAGAGAGAGAGAGAGAGAGGTGGGGGGTGTATAATGTAGCAGCTAATCTATTGGGAGAACGTTCAATTTAATTGTTAAGTTCTTGTTACTTTTACAGTTTTTATACTTAAAAGCAGCTCTTATATTACTGGTATATGAACTGAGTGTGGATGGTTTTCATGTACTGCAAGTATGGCATCATGCTTTCTGTATTTTAGGAACTAGGAAGTGATGATGTTGCATGTGGAATTTTAATAAATGATTTATCCCTATAGTTTCTGAGCTTTCTTTGACTTTCCTATTTCTCACATTGTTGCAAAGTGGTTTATGAATGCTCTCAAAATTTAGAATGTTCTTTTACTCTTTGAGATGAGGAATTCTCTTTTTGAGGTAAGTGAAATGAGGAAACTCTGGTACGGATCATTGGTAGCTTGTATCTCATGGTTGGGGTAATATATGGTATGTAGTTTGGTTTGGATCTCTATAAAATTTGCATGGAGTTTCCTATAATATGTATGTTTATTTATGTAACTGGCATCTGTTTCTTATTTTGTAACTTGCTGGACATTTGAAAGTCTCATTCAATAGGTTCCACTGTCCATGTGTTATCATAATTGTAGAAACTTTGGTATATATATGATAATATCTATACTAGGAATTAGTAGTGGGCTTCATTGGCTAAGGTATTGTGGTTTGATTTGTGTGTACAACTCGGGGTACATAAAAGAATTTTAAAGAATTCAAGCATCTGTTTCTTATTTTGTAGCTTGCTGGACATTTTGAAAGTCTCATTCAATAGGTTCCACTGTCCATGTGTTATCACAATTGTTGAAACTTTGGTATATATATATGATAATATCTATACTAGGAATTTGTCTTGGGCTTGATTGGTTAATGTATTTGATCATGGTTTGAGTTTTGTGTACAACTTGGGGTACATAAAGAATTTAAAAAAAATTAAAAAAAGTGGTTAAAAATATAGGAATGATGTATAATTTTTTTATATGACTCGAATGTTTTCAGAATTGATTGGTGAGTGTTTTTTGCCTTAAGCCCTTTTTTGTATTTTCCTTTTTTGGCTTTAATCTTCGCATTTATAAATCAATTTTTTTAGGCACATTTGCTCTATACTTTTTTAAGCTTATTTGGACCTTTCATGGTTGTTTTTAGTTTTATTTTACTTTTCCTATCTTCATTTAAATTTTTCATTTTTTTTTTTCGTTTATTCTGGGGCGTTTTTGCCCTATACAGATCTCAAGCAAGTCCTCTCGGACTTGCCCGAGTTACTCAGCTTGGCAAAGGGTTGTGTCGTTGGCAGAGACGAGTTTTTGAACTTTGGTGTTGATGATTGTAGCACTACATTCCAAGTTTGATTCCTACTACTGAACTACCTAAAAGAAAAATAAAAAATAAAATAGTAATAATACCCATATGCCATGGGTAACATTTGCAAAAGACCATTCCATTAATTTTTTTATTTGTATGGATAACATATTCAGTTTTGAAAAAAATATTGTATATTTGTAGGATGCCTACTTCAAAGAGCAGAAGTATTTTTATGTAATGCTCTATTTGATGACCCTCACTAGGAAGTTCTCTTTGTTTCCATGTGGAACAAGGTTTACGTGTTGAATTTGAAAGGAACAAATACTGCAAGCATGAAATAATGTCCTTTATGTTGAACATATGAAGAGTGTTTCTCATTATGTGTATCCAATTTCAAGACAACTATAAAACCTTGATCAATAATCATTCCTTTAGTCATTTCTGCCCTTATTTCTTCTTTAGAAGACTCAGAATATCTCAATATTTTATTTTTGTAGGAAGCAAGGGCATTATTAGGGCGCCTTGAATATCAAAGAGGAAACATAGAAGCAGCTCTTCATGTGTTTGAAGGAATAGATGTTGGTGCAATAGTCCCAAAAATGAAGCTCTCCATTGCAAGAAGAGTTGAACGCAGTAGGCGCCGTTCTCGCAGTGATGTTACTCCTCCACCAATGTCAATGCATGCTGTTAGTTTGCTTTTGGAAGCAATCTTTCTTAAAGCAAAATCATTGCAGGATCTCAAAAGGTTTAAGGGTGTGTTGTGAGACCTATTCGTTCACTATCATACACTTGCTTTTTTGAAATTGGTTCCGTCTTCTTTGGATGCCTCTGAATTTTGTTAATTTGACTTTCTTCATTAAATTTGTGATTGGCTTCTCAGACTTTTGTTCACATGAAACAAGTTGCTTCTTTTGAAGCAAGAAAAGAAAATATTTCATTTTCATGTTCATTCTGTTATCTTTTTCTTATTTTAAAATCCTCTTACAAGATATAAAGGTTACGAGAACATGAAATTGAAATGGTAAACTAGGTTCTATAACCCAATGTTTGCTAAAGCATCAATGAACTTGTTGAATTTTCCATGAATATGGAGAACCCAATCTTCTATAAGATGTCGTGCTACCAACCAGATGATGGAAAGCAGCGGTGTTCATTTGCCTATTTGTTTTATCATGAGAGTCGTCCGAGTCTTTGCAATCTTATACGAACTATGTTGAAATAGTGTTTTCAAACTTGCTCAGGATTCAGCAACCCAGTGAGTCTCATGGTTTATCACTAAAATTAAGTCTTGTCATTTAATATTATTTTTTCAAGGGAATTGGATGACTTTTGTTGAGACTTGGATGAATCAACTCAATGCAACTTCGGTCAGAATCATGCCAAGTCCTGTGCTGCTTAAGATTATTTTTTCTTTCTAAAGAAAAATCAGAATATAAATTGGATTGAAAATCTTGAAAGTAACTTCCTACTATGAGTGAAATTCATATATCTAAGCAACCATTCAAAAGTTGTATGCACAATAACTTCGCTTGGATCTTGTAGGTTGATCTTTACAGAGTACCCTTTTGTGAACTTATTAGAAGCTATTAATCTATTTTGTTATCGTTAATGAGATAGTCCTTAGGCTTGCATGCAGATACAGAGGCAAACTGACTAAAACACTCAGTGACTAATTACAATTTAGAAAATACATATGACTAAGATGTTGGGACTGATTTTAATCCATAGAGAACATGATGGCCAATAATGTATGGATAAGTACATAAACATGATACTGATCACATGTCAGGCCATCCTGTCCCTTAAAATCTATCAAAAATCATGAAGGTTGACTGGTTGTGTTTGCTCATGATGAACTTATGACCATTGGACTTCATAATGTCCACCAGCTTCACTATGAAGAATGTAAAGCAACAAAGATCTTAACATGGTCTAATTTTTCTATGATGGAATGGAAATCCACTTGCATATGCTTTGTTTATTCATGGCTAATGGTATTTGAAGCAATTTAATTGGCATTGGTGTTACCTTGTTATCATGACATAGGCAGGGATAATGAATACCAGCATCCTGAAGAAGAGCTCATATCCTGATGATTTTACTGCTAACAGATTCCATGGACCTTTAGTTATCCTCTGTGCTGGACTTAGAAACAGTAATCTATACGTTGCTCTTCCATTAGATAAGAGAGCTAACAAGAAAGAATCAGTAAACTGCTATAAATTTGATAAGGTGTTAGGACTACTTGTCTGATCCAAATTTCGATAACGAAATAAGAGCCATGGAATCAAGTGGTAAATGAGATATTAATTACCCGGATTGACCAGATATTACGAGAGGTACTAAAATGAACTCAATAGTGACATATTCACGTATGCAATCTGGACTAGTAATAGATGCATACTTAGGGCTTTTAATAATTTTTGGCATATTTATGAAAGAGAATATCTCTCAACTGACGTAATATTTTACATTCTGCTCAAATGAGGTGTCCAATAGTCTTCTTTTGTGACATTAACATCAACAATCAAGTATTGAGAAGGGAATAAATAGCATAATATCTGGGTGAACAAGCAACTTCAAAACTGTTTCTGGTTCCATGAAAATATTTCTAAAATCGGTTCTATTTCAGTAATCTCTCCGGTGAGAACATTACTTATGTATTATTTACTCACAGTCTCCCTAATTTAAACTAGAAAGTAAGTGAAGTTGCATATAATCATTGTAAAAACGTTATCTCACCTATTGTTCATTTTCCTGTATTGGGTTCCTTTTGCAGAGGCTGCTGAATCATGCAAAGTTGTTTTGGATACTGTTGAATCTGCATTACCCGAAGGCATGCCTGAAAACTTTGGTGCTGATTGTAAATTGCAGGAGACCCTAAGCAAGGCTCTTGAGCTTCTTCCCGAGTTGTGGAAGCAATTGGGTTTATACCAAGAAGCCATATCTTCTTATCGAAGGGCTCTCATCAACCATTGGAACCTTGAGCCTGAGCCATTAGCAAATATCCAAAAGGAATTTGCCATTTTTCTCCTCTATGGTGGAACTGATGCAAGCCCTCCGAACCTTCGATCACAAATGGAAGCGTCCTTTATTCCCAAGAACAACTTAGAGGAGGCAATTTTACTCCTCCTCATCCTCCTAAGGAAGTTCTCTCTCAATAGAATCAAATGGGACCCATCGATTATTGACCATCTCACCTTTGCACTATCCATGTCTGGGGGCTTCTTGTCATTAGCCAATCAGATAGAAGAATTTCTTCCTGGTGTTTTACAGAGAGAAGATAGGTGGTACACACTCTCTCTATGTTACCTTGCTGAAGGACTTGATGGGGTCTCTCTAAATCTATTGAAGAAGCTTTTGAGCTCTAGAGAGAGGCCGGATTGTGTCAGAGCCTTATTGTTGGCTTCAAAGATATGTGGAGAAGACAAAAATTTGGCCCAAGAAGGCACATATTATGCACAAAGGGTGCTGACTAGTTTAAAGAGAAAATCTGTGGAGTGCCAAATTTTGGAGAGTGTAGCAAATTGCTTGATGGGTGTCTCTTTATCAACCCAATCAAGGCATGCTGAGTCTGATTCCGAGAGGGTTACCAAGCAAAGTGAGGCACTTCAGGCATTTGAGGCAGCTGAGAAGTTCACAGGTGATAATGATATAGAAATCATTTATCGAATTAGTTTAGAAAATGCAGAGCAAAGAAGATTAGAGGTTGCTCTTGATTATGCCAAAGGGCTCTTGAAAATGGAAGGTGGGTCAAGCATAAGAGGGTGGATTCTTTTGGCTCGGGTTTTATCGGCCCAAAAGAGGTTTTCAGACGCCGAGATGGTTTTGGATGCTGCTTTAGAGCAAACTGGGAAATGGGATCATGGGAGGTTGTTAAAGACCAAGGCAAAGGTTCAGGTTGCCAAGAGTCAGTATAAAAATGCCATTGAGACCTATACTCGTCTTCTTGCTGTTCTCCAAGTTCGAAGCAAATGCTTTGGAGTTGGCAAAAGGTTGCTAAAGGTATGGGATCACTATTTTTCGCATTTTATCGGTCGTAGATCTATAAAGGAATTTTGGCCTTCAGTTTAAGCACACAGCTTCTGATTCTAGAATCTAGAGTACTCTCTCTCTCTCTCTCT